GGCCTTCTGGGAGGGCGAGCTACATGCCAAGGCCTTCTGGGAGGGCGAGCCACAAGCCACGGTCTCCTGGGAGGGCGAGCTACATGCCAAGGCCTTCTGGGAGGGCGAGCTACATGCCACTATCTCCTCAGAGGGTGAGGCCTTCTGGGTATTTCTTGTCTTTCTGTTTCTCTATCCTTACTTAGAGAGGTTTGACCTCACTTGAATCGTCATGAAGTATGTATGACAGGGGCCGTATATCTAGAGAAAAAAAAAATTTTTTTTCAAGGCAGAAACTGTGTGACTTTTCCTGGAGATAATACTTCTATTCTCCACAGATCAAAAAGAAAGGATTCCAATTCCTGGTTGGCGAGCCAAGGAGTTCACTAACATTGCTTCCATTAGCAAGGGTCGCGCGCATGGGTTCCAGAAAAGCCCACCCCAGGAGTTCCCCGCAAGATAGCTGGTAGCTGCAAGGAAGAGTCCTCTCCCCCTGGAAATTATGACTGCCTATACAATCCAAGAGCCATTTACCTGCCCTGGCAGCCTGGATCTTATAAGTTGCTTGTGCTTTCTGAGCCTCTTCCTCCTTTCAGAAAAGAATACTCCAGTCCGTATCCCTTCTACCAGGGAAGCAGAAGCTTTTTCTAGAGACACCCAAGCACACTGCCCTTCTAAGAATCGCAACTGCTTGTTCGACCTGCCGTCCCATGGCTGCAAGGGAAGTGAGGAAATCTAGTTCTAGTTCTGACTGCAACTAGCTTTGGTCAGTATCTCCCGGTCTTCTGTAGCCTCACAGAGCAGCACACCCCCTTGGAGGCCCTGCAGCCTGCTGGTTTCTTCGTTTTACCAGGACAGGCAGACTATATCACAGTAGGTCATTGTTTCCAGATCCTACCGCTGCTAGGATTCCTCAAGTACCCAGTTACTCCTGCGGCTTCTGGAATGCTGGGGTTACAGGTGTGGGCCACCTCTCCGGGCTTTTCAAATCAATGTGGTTGTTTCCCTAGCGTAGCTCAGTGCTCGGTATCATTCCACCACTGTCCTGTGAGGGGCCAAAATGCCAGCCTGTGCCGGGCCCTGCGCAGTCAGCAGCTTTCCGAGCCCTTTCCCGGCTGGACGGCTGCATGGATGACCGGCATTGCTGTCCATAGGCTCCACACAGAGCCAGCCTAGTTTCCCCAGCAGTCACCCCTTCCTCACACCCCAGGCTGTCACTTGATTTTCCTAAAAATCTCCCCCTTGCCCGTGAAGTGGTCAGGTTGTCTCTTTTGTCCTTGGGCGACACCAGCGCTCTTTCCCAGCCACCCTCCAGCGCTGAACCTTGAATTGATACAGTGGGTGTGACTCTCAGGAAGTTGCTCATTATTTGCCATTAGTGCCTCGGAGTGCGTGCCTTCCCATTATCCCATATCTTTCCATATTCATAGTCCTTCCTTCTCTCACTTCTCCCTCCCTTTCCCCTTCCTCCTTTCTTCCCTCTCTCCGGGGGAACTGGTTCAACCAGAGTACAACCTGGTCTTCTACCTCTGGCGCTGGAGCAGCTACAGGAGCTGGGACGTGCCGAGCAGCAGAGCTGAGGCTAGGGAGGCCAGGCTGGCGCACTGCGGGGCGCCGAGGACGAGCAGTCGGCCCGGCCGCCTCCCGGAGGCCCATGCGGGGCCGGTACAGCCCGCTGTCCGTTCATGAGGCCGCCGTGGTGCGGGAGGAGGACCCGCGGCATCCCGCTGGGGCTGCTCGCGCTCTGGGTGGCCGCCGCCCGCTGTCTGCAGAGTAAGTACCTCGCAGGTGGGAGCGCCTTGACGAGTGGGAACAGTATCGCTGGAAGGGGCGATCCTTCGGGTGCTGGCCAGGAGGGCTAGGGGATGAGGACTAGGGTCACTTCTCCGCCTCTGGGCGGGCGGGCGGGGCGCGGCTGCAGAGTCCTAGGCCGAGCTAAGGCTCCCTTGGTGCCCTGGGCCGCTGCCGCTGCGGTTATCAGAGCAGGAAGCCGGCCTGGAGATAACTCCTTTGCTCCTGGCCAGAAATTTCTATTTTCTTCCTGGAAATAACCAGATTGCAAATCCCCAGGTCGCCCGCTCGCTCACCACCAGAGCCTGGTGTTAGACACCCTCTGTGAGTTTCCTGGGTCTATGCGCCTCCCTTAACTTCCATATAGCCTGGGGCTCAGGAAAAGGGGTCGGAGGCTCACTGGAGCGTGAGCCCAGAGAAGGTGCCTGGTGAGCCAGCACTAGAATCCCTGGAATCACCCGTGAGTCCGAATGTTGCACACGACCATCATCATCTATAGACATGACCGATTACACTGCATTTTTACTTTCTTGTTCAAGGACTGTTATTATTACCATTCCCATCCGTTGACAGAGCAGTCAACAGAGAGGTCTAGAGAGGGCCAGAGTGGAGCCACTGGAGTTGAGAGAGCTAGGAGGGAGAGCTGGCCCTTATCAAGATCCCGGGGATCTACAAGCTTCCTAATGGTTTAGTCCTCAGAAAAACCATATAAAATCAGAACCACTTTTCTCTGTGTTCTACGCGTGCTGAAACTGAACACGGGAAGGGACTGCCTACCTAGTGTGCAGTGAAGTCAGGGCTCACACTGAGCCTCTAGCCTTTTCCTGGAGAACAGCACTGGTATTTGCAAAGCCAGCGAGAATGGGATGGGACTGTAGCTCCTGTAGCTAGGGAGCAGAACACAGCAGCTTTTAAGTCCAGCAAAGGGGACTCTTAACAACCACCCTTCCCGTTGTTTTCCAAGCCTCAAGCACACGTTTCCAGGCTCCGTTCATGCTCTTGGTGCATATGCCTGTGATGTTCAGGGGGTAGCGTCTGGATCTGTCTTTTCCCTGCAGGAATCAAGCAGGGCAGAGTAGATACAGGCAGCATTGTGGTTAAGAGCTTTTCCTTTGAAGTGGCCTTTGGAGGAGGTAGGTGCTGCCTTCCTGGAACACTATGAACTCAGATTTGGGGAAACCAGACTCTCTATGCAAAGGAATCCACTCTTAACCTGAACCTAGCAGCTGGGTAGGAGCCGCCATGACAGCGTTGACAGAGGGAACACAGGATGTTCCAGATGTGCAAACCGGGAGACCAGGTACCCTGCACAGCTGTGAGCATCAGGAGGGCCAGCACTGTCCATTCTGATCAGTCCCTAGTGTCTCTTCAGTATTGGTCAGGACCTACTCTTTTCAAATGAGGGGCTGGGGACCTGCTTGGGGGAGCCCTGAGCTGCAGCCATCACTAGTGATGTGGGGTGACCTTACCCTCTTCTCCCCAGTTCCCTGCATCCTTCAGTGCAGGTCAGTAACAGAGCCCAATGTTACAGCTCTCTTCTAACGTGAACAAGGCCCTGTGCTTGGCACCTAACACTGCTCGAAAAGAAAAAAGAAAGAAATGACGGTGTTAAAAATGAGAGAATGAATCTTCATTCCACAAAGCCTGTGTGAAAACATGCCCCAGACACACAGAATGCCTGTATTCTGAAGCCTTTTCTCTGTAACTGGTGTTGTTATGGACTAAATACAGGCCCCTGAATCAGCCAGTTGAAAGTTCTGATGTGATGTTTTTTGGAGGCAGGGCCCTTGTGGTGAGGTTGGGACTCCAGTGGTGAGATTTACATTCTTACCAACGAGAGATCAGAATTCTTCTGTTGGTAAGAACACAGGGAGCAGGTTAGTAAGCCAAGAGGAGGTGTTGCTAGACCAGGGAGATGCTCAGCAGGGAAAGACACTCTTCACCAGTCTTGGCGACCTGAGTTTGACCCTGGGATCCCCAAAGTGAAAAGGAAGAACTGCTCTTGTAGGTTGTCCTGTGAAGGCCACACACGCCATGACACATGTGCACCCACATGGAAAACATACACCCAAGTAAGGAAAGGAAAATAGTTTTTAGATAAAATATGACTGCATTAAATCCCCTGGACCTTGTACTTCTCACCCTACAAAACTAAGGGGAAGAAATAAGTGACTGTTGTCTCAATCATTCAGTCCAGACTCTTACAACAGCCCAAACTAGAGCAATTGCATGGAGGAGTGGGCAGCTACTGCCGTAAACCAGTTACTGGGTGCAGACTGGAGAAGTCTTGAGGAGCGTACTATAGGTTGGATGGGAAGTTCTGGTATGGTCTCACAGAGAGATAAGGAGTCTCGCTGGACAATGGAGAGAGAGTCCCTGTAAAGTAGCAGACGTCCAGACTGGGTCGTCTTCACATGTTAGTGATTTGTGGAGGGGAGAAGTTGCCAGCAATGCAGTTGGTTATTTCACTGAGATTTCTAAGCACATCGTCGGAGAAGGGGCTTGGTTCTTCCTGGCTGCTTATAGCAAATCCACGGGGGGGGGGGGGGGGGGGAATGAATTGAGCTGGATGTGGTGGTACATACCATTGATCCCAGCACGCAGGCGTTCAAGGCTAGCCTGGTCTAGGTCAACTAAGACTACATAATGAGCCCATGTCAAAAACAAACAAACAAAAAGAAATCAGATCTTAAAGATGTGGCCGTAACCTGACAATACTATAAAAACATAATGATGATAACAAAGGAATATCAGGAACAGAACAGCAGGGGTGTGGTGAACAGCCTTGGTAAGGATGTCTGTGAACCTAGGCACGCATCAGCCACCCCGGCTCGGCTGACCAGGGAGTTATACAGCTGTAGACATGTTCTTCCAAACAGAAAAGTAAGCAGTACTGATTAAGAGATTGTCAGGTTGCCTTGCTACAAATGAGAGAGGAGGGGACATTGTTCTTCCAGGCTACCTGGAGGAATATCAGGGGTCACCTTAGCATGCCTGGGGTCACCTCAGCATGCCTGGGGTCACCTTAGCATGCCTGAAGGCAGAGCATCTAACCGAAGAAACTCTCTGGTCTAACAGTGTGTCTTACTAAGCTCAGATCCCATGGCTCCTGACCTCCCTTTGGTTTCTTCCTAATGGAAAGACAATCTCTACCCTGTCCAGTGGTGGTCACATCAATGCATATTGGAATATATAGCTGCTGTAGTTCCCAGTGCACAAGCAGAAAGGACGTTGCTCAGGATGAGCTGTCCCTGGGAGCGCGCCCACATCTTCCTTAGACAGTACTTAAGTAACACTTCAGAGTTAACTAATTCCAGAATGAGTCTGGGAGACCAGAAATGGAAGGTGCAGACTGCTTGTGTTGTCACACACTTAGGAAAAACGAGAATCTGCCTTCTCGCTATTCAGGACAGAGCAAGATGGTGACAGCCTGAAGGCCAGGGTGAGAGTCCTTCCTCACCAAGAGCCACAGACACCCTGGTCCTGCGCTTTCCTCCTGCAAAGTGGGATTGGGGGTGGAGAGCACAGTTATGCCATGAAGATGGGGATGCATCCTGAGACTTATCAGGTGATCTGGGTGTAATGAGAACACCTTAGGGGGTACTCACAGAAACCAAGATGTCTCTGACGTCACCATGAGGTAGGTATGTGTGTGGCCCATAGTTCTGTGGTGTGTGCCTGTGCTTACATAGATAGCTAGAACAGGAACAGGAAGAGGGAGATTACCACGTTCAGAGTTTCAAAGTGGCTTTCTCATAAGCGATTGCCTCATCTGCTAGACACCAATCAGCTCTCCGAACATGGGAGATGACAAAACGGTCAGAAAGAACATTTCTGGTCCACGTGTCCAGCCTGTTGAGAATACATGCGGGCCCTCTGCCTGCTGAGGGACACGATAGGGGTAGTTTAAGCCTGCCCCATGCTGACCCAGAGAATCCCTGCTCTGAAGAATCCCTAAATGGCAGAGAGAGGCCTCATAGGTTTAGTGGAGTTCCAGCCTCGTAAGGCCAGAGTTCCCAGGGCAAGACGGTGAGGAAGGAAGGAAGCTCGGTGTTCCAAACAGTGCTGCCCATTAGAACTTACTCAGAAAGGCCAGGGCCAAAAAACAAAAACAAACAAATGAAAAAACCTGGGGGTGGGGGACTAGAATGGCTCAGTAATTAAGAGCATTGGCTGCTCTTCCAGCACCCACATAGTGGCTCGTAATCACCTGTAACTCCAGTTTTAAGGAATTCTCATGGCCTCTTCTTACCTCCCTGGACACCACATACACATAGGATGCAAATACATACATGAAAGTAAAACAATCTCACACACAAGATTCAATAAAACAAATAAGTAATTTTCCAAAAGATAGACAGGTACCTATTCCTTACCCCAGACCAATAAAACCAGCATCACCGAGGGCAGAGACCAGACTGTGTGGTTCTGCCTTTGAGCTTCTCCAGCTAAAGTGTGGTCAGGCAAATCATGTCTCTCATAGACAAGGTCGATTAGTCTGGTCCTAGGGGAGGAACTGGCTTAGAAGTGTCCCTATGTCCCCTCCCTTCAGGTCTGAAAACACCTGCTATCATGTTTTAGAGTCTTGCTTCCTGTATGGTTTCATCCACACAGACTTAAAAAGACTTTCTTACAGGGCTTAGGGAAGGGAACAAGGCTCCTTGGCTTTGGTCTTGCTGGTCTTAGACACTCTTGAGCATTTATGGTGACTGGCCATCAGGGGCTAGAGGTTCTGAGGGATCTCCTGGGAAAGTCTAATCCCAAGAGGGTGAATTACATCACTAGCACTGGGCAATGAGGTTGGGGCTTAGCTTGGAGTAGGGAGGCTTGTCTTAAAGAGGAAGTCTTGAAGGCTAAATGAGTAGATGAACAGAGAACGCTTTAGCTGCAGGACTCAAGGGGAGACTCCTATCCCTAGGCCAGTGAAGGGGGTCATTTTTTAGCTATATGAACTTTATGTAGCGTGTCAGTCTTCTGTGACC